ACCCCCTTATCGCTTTGCAGCATGGGAGTGAACAGCTCACTATATCTATTTCTCGGCTCAAAAAAAGTCTTACCCCCACCACCCTGAATTTTAAGCTCCCGTTGACCAAGCTCCCATCCCCTCATTCTCGTCTACTCGGGGTCCGCGTCGGTGTAAAGAAGCACGCGACGGCGTTGAGGCCCTGGGTCAAGTGGCGAGGTCGGCGACGGGGGTGGCGCTGAGGCGGCGGAAGACGTGGTGGAAGTCGAGGGCGAGGGCGTCCATGGTGTCGAGGAGGCCGCTGAAGAGGTCGTCAAAGTCGGCGTCGACAAAGGTGCGCAGGCCGAGGCGCGCCGTCATGAGGCGCTTGTACTCGGCGAGGAAGACGGCCTTGTACTCGTCGCCGACCTGAGCTGATGATCTTCTCGGCGCGGGCGACGAGGGCGTCGGCGTCGGCCTCGGCGACGCCGTGCTCGGCAAAGGTCGCGTCGTCGACGGCGGGGCCGGCGCCGAGGAGCTCGCCGAGGGCCTCGCCGAGGCGCACGAGGTTCCACCAGATGATGGTCGGCTGGTTGCGGTAGCTGTAGCGCAGGGCGTGGTCGTCGTGGTTGGGCGTGTACTGCGGGTCAAAGTCGTCGAGGAAGGCAAAGGGCCCAAAGTCGAGGCTGAGGCCGAGGATCGACGTGTTGTCCGTGTTGAGGACGCCGTTCATGAACCCGTAGGCCTGCCACTTGGCGACGGTGAGGGCGTTGCGCCGCGTGATCTCGCGGTACAGCCGCGTGAAGCGGTTCTCGGCCGCGTCGTCGGGGCCCTGGATGGCCGTCGCGGGCACGCCGCGGCCTGGGTCCGCGGGGGAGGCCTTGGGGTCGTCTGGGTTGGCGAGGCGCGCCGGCAGCGCCTCCCAGCCGCCGAGGACGTCGGTGGCGACGTAGGTGGCGAGGGTTCGGAGGAGGGGTCGCTCGGAACGAGCACGAAGAATGTCAAAGTTGCCGAAACGCAGCCACGACTGGGCGAAACGGAGAACAATGGCCCCCGGCTCAACAGTCTCGCGGCGGACCTTGGAGTTCGGGAGGAGGGTCAGGGAGAGGGCGCGCGTGGTGGGGATTCGTAGGGCGTGGAGGGCCTCGGAGACGATGAACTCGCGGATGCTGGAGCGGAGGACCGCCTTGCCGTCGGCGAAGCGCGAGTAGGGCGTCAGGCCGGCCCCTTTGAGCTGGAGCTCGTACTGGACGCCGGTGGCGGGGTTCTTGGTCTCGAAGAGAGAGATGGCGCGACCGTCGCCGAGCTGGCCAGCCCACTGGCCAAACTGATAACCGCCGTAGCATTGCGCCCATGGATAGCCTCCCTCGAGCTTCTCTTGGTCCCAGCCGTGTAGCCTGTTACCAGCGACGGTCTGGCGAAACTCGTCTGTCGTCTCGTCCCCCTCCTTGATACCAATGTCGCGCATAGCCGCCGGGCTCACGGCGAGCAGCTCGGGATTTTCGGCGGGCTCTGGTCGGACATAGGAGAAGATGGCATTGCGGACTTGTCGTGGCCTTATTTGGTTCCGTGGCGTCTCGTGCGAGTCGGCTGGTGTCGGGTATTGCGAGTCGGCGGGGAGGGAGCTCGTGAAATGCCACGTCTTGGGCAGGTCGGCGATGGAGACGCCAGCGGCAGATTGATCGGCATGGCCATCGCCTGAGGCTGTGGTGGACGCCATGCGCAATGCGATCGAGATCGAGGCAGTCAGAGGCAGTCGTGGGTGAGCGTGGCGGGGTGTGAGGATGGTTGTGATGCTGGATGTCGGGCGTAGAGCTCGGCTCTTCGGAATCCTCATGGACGGATGAGCGGTCGGCGATTCAAAATGAGTGAAAAAATAGGATAACAAGTAAAGATGACTTGCAGTTGGATAACTTGACGATTGATATATTCCTGACGAGGCGCAGAAGGTGGTGGTCCAGACGTTTCAGAGGGGGCGACATTTGAAATCGGATTTCCATCGCCATGTCGAGACGGTCGGTCTGCTTTACGTCATCCTGGAGCTGCCGCCACTACGTCTTGTCGCGCCTCGGGGGATAAGGTCCTACATGAGCACTCTCGGCTCTGCCTCGGACGACTGGCGATGACGGTGCAGGCACGTCAGGGACAGGTCCAGATGGGATGGACAATGAGAATCGCCATGGCCAATATTCCCAGCGCCGTGCTCCAGCTCATCAATGACGGTGGTCGTGATCCATCCACGGACGAGACGGCATGAGGCAAACGGTAGCATTCAGGTAACGGCAGGCTCTGCCGTCTAAGGTAGGTACGGTAGATGCAGGGGCAGGAAGATGCGGGGCGAACGGATGCTTGCCTTGCACACCCCACCTACCTACCTAGTACCTAGGTACCTACCTAGTACCTAGGTACCTACCTACCTACCTACCTACCTACCTGTCCATCGACCATCACTCAACCCTCCATCCATCCACTCAGCCTACGCACCAGCGGCCCCTCACCCCTTGAACAGACCGAACGGCCGCCTTTGGATGGCCCGGTCACAGCACTTTCATCTCGCCGCCAAGGCAATGCCTCATGTCTCGAGTCATCCATCGCCATGGCGATATCCATCGCGCAATGGAGGCTCCTCCTGGTTCAACAGTCAGGCGCCATGTTACCGGCATGATCCACTCTACAGGCCGAGCAAGGAAGAGAGAATGTGAGGCAGGTGAGGCAGTTTTTTCCCTGTGGGAAAGACTGCAGACATACGATCCAAGAAATCACGAAAAGTG